TGATAATCATGTTACCTGGGGTCCTGATGGCAAACGGCACCATGTTGCCGGAGTTCACTGTTCAAAGAAGGAGCGCTGGGGTGCTGAGGCCACTTCACCCACACTGCCAGTGTGCTCTGCAGAGCAAAGACATGCCATGTATATTCAGAATGCACTGACACTATATGTCAATGGACTGGTTCTTGTATAGCACTATCTGAGTACTGAAAGTGCTTTACACAACTTGCTTCATTCACTGTTTTCTCCAACAGCATCAGAGAGCAACTTGGGGGAATATCTTTCCCAAAAATATTTGGCATGCAGACTGGAGCAGACAGGGATCAAACCATCAATTGGTAGGTGACCTTCCCTACCAGCCAAGTTCTGCGTAGCATCAGTAAGGTATCGTTTTCTAAGCACAAGTTTCAATAAAATCATAGTGTGCCTAAAATAATCAGGTCATGGTCGGTGCTGAGACTCTTTCAAATCTAAGCTGGTGTCACCGACCGAACACTCCTCCTGTAGAGTCTGCAGGCAGCCGGAGCGATCATTCCTCACACAGCAGCCCGATTCTCTCTCTAGTGCTCGCTTCTCCTGGATCAGCTTGTGGATCTCTTCATCCTGACGCATGCACGGGGAAAACTTGGCTCCCAGGTGAATCAGCGCTTCCTGTGGCAAAGAAGAGATGACGTGACAACACTAACACTACGCCTCTGTCAAAATAAGTCTTTCAAGACACCAGCCACAGAAAACAAACAAATACATTTGTGCATTCATTTCAACTGAACATTGTGTGATTGATTTAAATATGGAACCTGGTGTGTTTAAATCCTACTACAACAGAAAATGTATATTTTAACCATTTATTCCTTTATTTAGTCAAAAATCCTACATGCATTTAATTTCGACATGCGTTTGAATCATTTAACTTTTAACTAACACTTAACCATTTTTCCATTGCTTTATTGTACTATTTATACATTATATTTATATGATATTTGTGTGTATTAGTAGCTAATGCAACAAGTGTTCATGAATGCATGAGCAGATTATACACACTTATGGTTAAAGAGGGCGTACAGCCTCTTTCAATTCTACATCACTTTGTTCTTTAATTATCGCATTCACAAGATTTTTAGAAGACTCGACTTCTGACCTCTGACCTTGAGGCAGAGGTCACTGAGATTCAAACTCGCCTGGGATTTTTAGTAGTGTGAAAGGCGGTGGATAAAAGACTGGAAGTACTTACAGAGCTCGGACCCACCCAGAAGTTTTGCTGTTGCACAAACTTCACGTTTTCGTAAACCCCCTTGTTCCTCAGCACCTCAAAAATGAAAAAAAATATAAATTTCAATATTCAAAAATTTGTAACAAAGCAGCATTGAACCCTTATAAAAGTCGAACAGTTTACTTACTGAGTCGACAGTTTCGTGTTGCGAGAAGCCGATAGGGGCAATACCGTAAATGGTGACAGCCAGAATGGTAATGAGCAGGTGGACGCAGGTGATCCAGTAGGTAAAAAAAGGCCTGGAGAGGGAAGCATTGTTAATGCATTGTTTACTTTTTGCATTTAAACATTTCTAAACAGCCACATCCCATCTCACCTGTGATCATCCATGTCTTCAATCTGCCGCTTGACGTAGCTGTCTATGCGTTTGCGATACGACCGGTTAGTGAGACGTCCGACTATGCCCAGCCCGTACGGCCTCTTCTCTCTGGCAAAAAGCTTCTTAACCGGAACCACGATTCTTTGCCCTCGCTGCTGATGGCTGTTGACGCTCACCACCTCCTGTTTCAGGCGGACTTTGGGTTGGACCGCAGAGCCGGATTTTGCCTTCCGCCACCCTCGCTCTAAAGGCCTGAATCGGGGAGGAGGAAGCATTGTAAGGGATTGCAGCTCCTTTCATTTTTTTGTGTGCATGTGAAGGATACGGTGGAGACCTACATCATGAGATGACTCCTCTCTAGTTCATTCCTATCCAGAGCGCTTCCCGTGAGCTCGCTCTCATCTAGCTGTTTGAGGGCAGCCTCCGATGGAGTCTCAAAAACCTCGTCAGCATAGCTGGACAACTCATCCTGCAGGCCTTCCTGCAAAGACTCATCTCATAAATACACCGTAGACAGTATTTTTAATTTATTTCACAGAAATAAGCACACATGCTTTTGCTACATAAAGTCTCTGCGGGCTATCGCATTCAGAAGATTGCAGAAGACTGCAGAACTGAAAATTATGCTGCAGGAAGTTCTTATACTGAACGAAAAAATGCAAGCTTTATCAATCTGTGAATTCAAATGAATGTCACAGTGACTAAAAGTCGCTTTGGGAGAGTGTGTCCACTGCTCACTCTGGTGAAGAAAGAAGTATCTAGTTCATCGGGGAAATCCGCAGTGTCATCTTCGAAGAAACTAGGAGGCATGAAACTCCGTCTGCGGCGCCGCCCAGCGGTGCTCTCGCCTAACGTCCGGCCCTGAGAAACGATCATAAACAGGACAATTCAAAGAAAGATGGAGGAAATTTTCTAAATCACATCGACAAAAGCACCTTAATAATAAAGGTATTACTTTATCATTGCGAAATGAGAGCTGATTTCTATTAATGGAGACAAAATATCACCATTTTTTGTCAAAGCTACTGGTGACACAAATGCACACAAGGTGGCTCACTGGGTTCATGGTAATAGTGAAAAAGCTCTAACCTGCTCACCTATGAACCCCTCGGCGTCACACTTAACCCTGGAGAACCAATGGGGTCAGAGCCGACCCCATTGGTTTTCTAGGGAAACCATGGGGTCAAATTTGACCTAAATCGAAGTATCATGTAAAATGTCCTTTCTGTATTTCTTTTTCTAAATCTTTTTTTTGGCCTGTCTGTCGTTGTAGCAACCAGAAAAATGCCCAACAGATTTACTTTCCCAAGTGGATCATTATGGCTTTTCCCATACTGGTCTACTTGATTGTCATTGCTTGTTCGATCTGCATTATTTATTTATTTTACTTTTATGAAAAGAGAAGTTGGGAAGAGGCTCAACAGAAGGAGAGGGAAAGAAAAACAGAGGAGAAGAGAGACAGAGAGAAAAGATACAAAA